GTAAACGGGAGCGATGTGAAGATATAATTTTAATTAGATTGGTCATTTGATAGAGTCGGTCAAGAACCGTTTACAAGTGCCATCCCACTTAAATATCATAATCTTGGGGACGGTAGGGTGAAACCCCTTCCGGTCACAATATCAAATAAACTATTCGAGGTAAATGTTGTATAAGTGAAATATTTATGATTGTGTGCAATAACTTGGTTCAACTGTATATCGTTTACAATCGTGACGTCATTACCGTCTGTTTAAACTGTTAATCACGAAGATAATGGAGCACAGTTCTTTATATGCTTCACATTGTGCCTTCTGCCATTTCAGGTCACCGTCCTTTACAAGTATGATAAGTCCCTTTGCATTCTCTGTAACAAATCAAAATATATGGCTTAAAACAAACAAACAAAAAGGAAACTTGTTATGTTGTAAAAGAAAAACATATTCAAAAGATCTCCATTTACTTTTCGGTGAAAAACATGTTTTTTCCTGATGTATGACTGAAACAATTATAGTAGTACAAAGGTTATAAATTTCATTTTTCATTTTTGTAAGGTTCATATGAGACAGTAACCTTGACTTATCAGTGCGTCCTTGAAAACTGCCCATTAAAGTTTAGGGTAGGCAGAAAATATTAGAGCTGGTAGGGTAACCGTAAACAAACAATATTTTTGATTTGCATATATAACATAATCAAATCAAACCTTAAGAAATACTTTTCTCAATTTTACACAATGGTTTTGGGAAATGCTCTAAAAAATTAAATGATCCTTTTATACTCTATGCAGGTGTGGATATGAGCTTCAATATATGACATGAATACATTAAAGATTTGCGTTCAACATATTTATATTTTAATATTTTTGTAATTGTGAATCTAGATGATTACTTACAATTTATGACATCAAGTTTTGTTATTCTACTACTCCTGGTGAATACACGCAAAATTTACAATTCTCTCAATTAAAACGGTCTGAAGTTAGTTCTTACCTCCTCTTTCTAGCATATTGAACGGAATTGATAGTATCAAAGGCCTGGTAATGTCCTTTGTCGCTGTTATGGTTACCATCGGGGTGGGGCTTGACTCCTGTTCCTGCAAACACAACGACGGTATAATTTTTGTTTAAATACCAAAGAATACAGACACTTCAACAAATCTGTAATTCGAACTAAAAGTTGAAAAAATAGGACAAAATATAAAAAAGAAATGTTTACATGGATACTTTTGGGAAAGTAGAAGAAGAATCAGACTATGTTTCTGCTTTATCGACCAGACATGCCATTGTAAATGTAGGTAAAACCTTAGTTTTGTCTATTATTCACACATAGCAAGAACTGGGGTAATAACAACGAATCAATTATATATATCTAGCTTTATATCACAAATTCACAAAAGGAATTAGAACATTTCCCAATAAAATCATGATAACATCAATAAAACGTGCCCATACTCTGTTCAGATAGGATTTCCGAATTTGACAAATACGATGGAGTTTAGTTTTTTGGTATTTTAAAGTTTTGCGTGGAAGTTAAAAAATCAAATTTTCTTATTATTTATCAATTATTAATGAAAAAATAATGCAGGATGATACATCATTGTTGAACCAAGTAAATTAAAATGAAAGTGTATTTGCAAATTTCAATTTATTCATTTGGAAATTGTTATGCTAGGAATCATTTAGACATTTTGGCGTAAAGATTGTTGTTGAGATATTTTCAAGGTTTACCAGGACGCATATGTCTATATCCCTGTCAACTGAATTCTTTTCAGCGGCGATAGTGATCCTGTTGTTACACCGGAGGCGGATCAATCCTCCTCTAGGAGACACTGTGTGCATCTCTAGTTTGTCCATGAAAGAGAGTGGCACATCCGGCCATAACTCGCACGAGATGGCCATGAAGTGCGTTGGGCATGCGCGGATCATCGCTGACACACACGGTTTGTTCTTAAGAAAAAAAGTAGAAAGGTGAATCAAATCGACAGATATCAACATGCTACTAACAAGAAAAATATTTATTTGTTGGAAAAAAATAATCAAGGAATATTTCAAGCGAGATCTAAATACATATGGTGTTCAATCAGATATGAAACAAAAAATAAAACAAAACTGAAGCATATTCAACATAATATTATTTCAAAGGTATAATTTATTTCATCTTGACAGAATTGGACATAAGTATAATCGTGTTTCCAAATCGACCAACCTTCATCATAACCCGCGATGACGGGCTGGCCGCAGTTGTCTCCCAAGTCTTTCCTTTGTCATGTGATGACACAACAAAGGCCGGTAACTCTATTTTACTCCTCAGTTTCGTATCGACAATCATCACCTGTACGGAGCCCTACAATAGATGTAAATACGTTGTTCTTAATTGAAGTAAGCGTTTATACTTTAGCCGTATTCAAATTTCAGGGTTTTTCGAACTTAATCATTGCGCTTATTTATGATCGCTCTAATAATTATTTCTGAATATATGTTTTAATCGCATATTTTGTGAGTGTGCCAATTCATGAATGCGCTAGTATATGGTTGCATGTTAAATTTGTTACATTCTAATCAAGCAATACGTCAATGTAATAGGATAAATAAACTGAATTTTGTTTTCCAGATTTTTAATCTGTCGCACACTTAACCAACAACTGTCTGATGTTCTGATACGTTATAGTAAAATTAGGGAAATGTCACTAATTAGTGTGCTGGCAATTTTATTCAGTCGTGTGTAACACCTCTCCACGACTAAGGCCACATGGAAACGGTGCCTTGAGAGGCGTCGCCGAAAGGGAAAGATTAGGTCAGAGGGAAAAGAATAATGGAGACATCCAAAGACCTGCAATGGGGCAGTATACCATTTGGTCTCTTCATTTTTCTCTAAGAAAGCAGAACAAAACTCCCCATTCCGCAGGGTTCCCTACATTAATCACCTCTTTGGATGCAGCAGGTTATTATTGTCCGTTAACTAGAAGAACATTTTCACCGCATGTGTTTTCTTACAGTTAGTAACATTCGGGTTTTCTTACCTTCTTACGTAGCCTTGCTCTTGCTTTCACTTTAAACATCTTGCTCAGTGGCACAGAGGATGCGTCACATGGGTAAAGGTGCCTAATTTTGGCCTTAATGACGTCTATGCTGTGGACGATGACGTCTTGGTCACTGACTGCCATTGGGAACACTAAAGCCATAATAAACTTTGAGGTCTGGTCGTAGTACCTATAAAGTGTTGGTTGATGACCATGAAACACAAATGTATTTGCGCATATAATTTTGCAATAGATGGTTTTCCAAAAATGAATTACACTTCAAGGACCAAAACAACTGTATGGTGCAGTGTTATTCATTTATGGTATTAGTTAATTTAGAAATAAATACTGAGTAACCGAAAATCTATATTATGAACCGTGCCACCACTCAAAAAATGGATACGGAGGCCGCTTCTTAACAACTACAGGTAAGAAACAAAAATATGCATGTCATTAGATTGAAGACAATCATACTCTGATATTGAACGCCAAAAAATACTTGTATTTCAGCACATCAATAACTTATTTAATGGTTAAGTCATATCGGGCCGAACAGCAATAAAAAGAAACACTTTCACAACCTAGTACACCAAAACGAGATTTCACGGTAAATGGTTAAAATTCAATACATAGGATATTGAAACAAATCTATTCTAAAATAAATAATAAAAATCATATTCTCAATAGAATGAAGTTGGATACAGCATGATTCTTAGATGAAATAAATTGTATGGTAGTTTATGGAATTTTTGGTTCGAAAAACTGATACACTAATGCAAAAGTTCAAAGAAGCAGAAATGTAAATCAAATAATGTTTGCAAATTGATGACTGCCATACTTGATAGTTGTTTCGTCTGTATTTGAAGTACATGTGGAACGTAGCTGACTTCGGTCGGTCGGTTTTTTCTGCAACTTTAGACACGATCTAAAGATTTGCTGCTCGTTGGAGGAAGCCTCTCTCGCCATATTGAATACCATGTTCTCGAAGCCTTTCATCTGTAAACAAAACCCACCTCTATCATTATCAAGTAAGTATACATAATACATTCCAAAGAGAATATTTCTTCGTTTTAAAAAATAGTATTAATTCAACAAGAGGCGTACATTCTTTCACTGTAAACATTTCATTTTCGCAATGTCCTTGCTTTAAATATATCTAGATCGGCATCTTCACACCGAAAAGACTTAAAATTGCTCACTTTCTATAAAAACAAATATCAGAATTTAAGACAAATTTCAACACTACGAATTTACTGTGAAATCACTTATTTTCGTAAGATTGTAAATTTTGTTGATTTTGTGGGTTATCTTCGTTGAAAGATTCATAGATCCACAATGTTATTCCAAGTTTGATATTAAGCAATTCTCCGTTTGGGCTGGTACTCGTATTCTACGAATTCATGTACCCCCGAAATGGTGTTTTGTCGATTACCACGAAATTACTGTCCGACGAAAATATCTGATATGACATCAAACATATGATTTTGAATTCCGTTCTTATTAGCAGGTTTTATTATATCGCGTAACTCAGTGTACATGCATAATTGAAATATATGGTATTGCTTTTCAATCATATATTTTATTTAGTACTTTCATGACTAGCATTGTCCGTAACTTGGTACAGAAAAGATGAGTCTTTTAACATACGAAGATACAAGTAGACAAACCGTGTGTAATCGTTGAAGTCGGTCAGATTTCTCCTTTTCTGTAAATTTATAGAAAAAGATGTATGAGAGCAGAATCGGAGTTATTATTAAGTTGATAAGAAACACAAGGAATTAATAAAAAAAAATCATTATGAAACAAACAGTCTCATTACTAGTATTATATTCTATACTTATATCGATTTTGTAACATTGTTTAACTCATTCACCCCTGAAATTTCAT